CACATCTCGTCCTGCCCCCTCCACTCCAGGAGGAGGACGGCGAGAGTCTCTCTGCCTCACGCCTGCAGCTGGCGGGGGGCAGGGGCCAACGACGGAAAGCCAGGGAGGCTCCTGACGTGGGCACGCTCCGCCGACGTGCCCCTCTGACCTCTGGCCCCATGCCCTGCACCTAGAAGGTGGGCCCTACAGAGGTACCCAGCGCGACCTTTTCATGCGGGAGAAAGCCACAGGCCAAGACAAAGAAGGGACACAGCACAACAATCCCAACATCAATGGCGCACTCCCCGGACACTCAGCACCTGCACACATGGCCCGAAGCTCTTCTCATAGTAACTCCCGCGGGCCTCACAGCAACCAAGGCATTGGTGCCATGCCCTCCCGATCCCCATGTCGACAAAGGCCATGCACAGCTGGTAAGGGGCAGAGCCTGGGTCTGAACCCCGGCGGCCAGGCTCCAGCACTGAACCGTTACCACGGGGCCCTTGATGACTCACCCCCAGCAGCAGCATAGGCGTGGACTGCTGACATCCAGAAGCCAACGTAGGAGAGAGCCGTAAACCTCCACTGTCAGGTCCCCGTAGACCCCCAACACACTGGTGACCACAGGACTCTGGATAAGCACATCCAGACCCACGCCTCTCAGCTGCCACCCCCAGGGCAACAATTCTATCGCAACCCCCAGTGCAAACCTCTCCCCCAGCTCCAGGTCAACGTGTCTGAACTCAGAATGGTCATCACACCTCCCAAACCAGCTGCCTGTCCAGGACAATGGCACCACATCCACCTTGGACCCTAGGAACATGCCAGACTTCTCCTTCTCCTCACCACCCCCCGCTCCCATTAGCCTCCTTCCCCTCTACGTCAACCCCTTCACCACCTCACGGGCCAGGACTTTCTCTCCAGCACCAGGCCCTGCCTTCACCTGCCTCTGGGCCTGTTCCCATCAGCCCACGATGTCTCTCTGTGCACAAGGTCCCTGTGTTTGCTGGGACAGCGTGGGTCCTCTCTCAACCTTATTCTTGACCTGCCTTCCTCAGGGGCCTGAACTAAGTCCGAAGTAGTAGCTACCTTGCTGCTTCCTCTAACTTCCAAAAGGTGAAATTCAAGAAACTGTCACATGCCTGTTTCGAGAGGAAGGTGACATATCTACCAGGTGTGCTGGATAGACAGTCCTGCACACTCTGCCTACCCTCTGGGTCAAGGATGCAATCTGCATGATCAGGCACCAAGGCGTGGCTCAGATCTAGAACGGGCACATTCACACGTCAGCAAACCTAGCGTTTATGCACCTAAAGCTTCTTATCCCTAAAGCTTCAGCCCCTTAAATTCCCAAACCTTCCCGGCATCGGGCACTCTTCCACAACGGATTCATAAATTCCCAAACCTTCCCAGCATAGGGCACTCTTCCACGACGGACTCATAAATTCCCAAACCTTCCCGGCATCGGGCACTCTTCCACTCTTCTGGAATTTTCTGAGCATATCATCCACTCCTATTACAGAAGTCCACTCATGGGGACTCCCCAGGTTGCAGTGCGCCCTAAATGACTGTATTTACCAGGCTCCACATCTGGACAGGCTCTGCACACTGCCATCCCTACCTCTGAGATCACAGGAAGTCTCCTGACCTCCTCCGCAACCCTTCCTGAGGATGACAGCCTCCAGAGCCCACCCAAGACTGGGGGCCCATTCAAAGGGCAGTCAAGGATTTGTGCCACATTTACGTAGAGAAGTGGTGGCTGGCATGCGTTGTGTGCACACGCACGTGTGTGCCTGTGTTAGCATATGTGCGTGCTAAGCCTGCATCTGGGGACGCTGTGACCTTTGAAAGTGGGATCAAACGGCCTTTCCCCAGGGGTGTGAGGTGCTCCGCGAGGAGACCTGAGCTGGTGGCACACGACTCGGACCCATCCCAGCACTGTGCTAACAGCCCTGAGAGACCGTCAGGGCCACTGGACCGGCTCCACGCTGCTCCATTTCCAGGCTACTCCTGTTCTCCCCTTGCTCCCGGCTTCCCAGTGTTCTCTGACCATTTCTTTCTGCCCTGCAAGTTGCTTCCACCACTCATCATCCTGGGCAGCCTCCCAGTGAAGATGAACCAACCCTCTGCAAAGGAGGCAGTCAATCTACTTGATGAGCCAAAGTCCTCTGAAACAGACCCTGTTTGTCAACCGCAGATACGTCAGCCACCATTCACTTCCCATCTCCATCTTTTTCAAGTCACAAAACATGGCATTAAGAGGCCGCTATATGGCAGTACCTGCAAAGTCAGGACTCCTGCTGCTCAGAAGTGGCTGCCCCTGCCTGGGACATCACAGTCGTTGGAGCCGGATTCCCCTCCTCCCTCGAGAACCAGCAGGAGCACAGCAGGCCTGGAGCAGAGGACCCGCGACAAACCCTCCACAGGCAAAGCCCGGCTCCCGATCAGGCCCAGCAGCTCGGCCCACCGCAGCCTGAGGGTACCTAGAGGGATCTCACACCAGGAGGGGCTTCTTCTCCCCTCAATTAATGGGGACTATTTCCCAGAGTTCAGCTTAGAAGAAAGGAAAACCAAAACAACACACGCTTGCCCTGAGGATGGAGTCATGGGCATCTTTTGGGAAGGAAGGTACACGCGGGCTGACCCCTGTGCCACTGGGCACTGCGAGCATCTGAACGGTCATGTGGGAACAGAATGCAGACCCCAAAGTCCTGCAGGACACTCAGGGATCCAAACCACACAATCCTATGACCAGGTTTCACCCTCTGAAGGAAAAAACTGTATCTGCAAGATCTTCCCATAAGCAAAGCATCTAAGGTTTACCCGCTTAAAAACCCAGCCAAGCAGAACACCCTCAGCCCGGTGGCTGGCAGCACGCGCACCCCGTGCCCATGAGCTTCCGCACAGCGCCCGGGCTTCCCCGTGCCCAGCAGACTTGTCCCAGAGCTGCCGCGGGGACTCATCCTATGGGGACCGTCCTCCCTCATCACCGGGCCCAGCATCACAGCAGGTCTTCCAGCCCGTCCACTGCACTCCCACGCTCCCTCCACACAACGCCCCTGCTCATCCCACAAGGCACAGCTGGAGCGTCACAGAGTCCTCCGAGCTCTAGCCTGGGTTTGCTTTCCTGCACCCCATACACCTCAAGATAACACGAATGTCTGTTTTCATTAAACCTCTTCGTTATTGGTCTAAAACCTGTCTTCCTGCTGTAACCACAAGCTCAAGGGGGCAGGAACCATACTCACTTTGCTCGCCTGCGTCCCTACCACCCCGCCAAGGGCCAGGAGATGCCCTGTTGACATGGGCTGACTTGAACTGATGCGGTCTCCACACGCCCGTGCTCTGCCCAAGGCCAGCGCCCTGGCGCCCGCCCCATGAAGGTCTTCGTGAATGACAGGGCCGCCTAGGAGCTGGCAGGTCAGGCCCCGGGACACTTCAACAGACCTGAGGCTTGCTGAAGTAAGGAGAGGTGGACCAGGACCGACACACGAACACCCCCAAGCATGGACAACAAGAGGTGAAAGAAGTCACGCCCACCAATCATACCTGAAGGCCGGGACCGAAAGGTAACACGTGTCCACTTAAAGACACAGCCAACGGCCAGAAATAAATGGTGCATTTTATACAAATGTCCCCAAACCACCCCGTACATCCACTCGGCGCACGTGCGAGTCCTGGTGCGTGTGCGCACGTGTGTGCAGAGGGGGTGTCACAGGAAGGCAGGGCAGAGCACAAATCCTAGCTCCTCTGGTTCTTCTCTCTTCGAGACAATGACCACCACAGTCCGTCTCACTGACGATTCAGGCAAACGCAGTTAAGGATGGCTTGGGTCTTACGGCATGAGTTGGTGGTAAAGCAGTTAAGACAAACTTACTTACCACATGAATTAAATGGTCTATTTAAAATGCAATATCAATTCTCTAATCACATCTCAGCTGAACTTCTTCTTTCAATTAACAACCCCGAAGTCTACTGACAGGTCCTACTGTTCTAGGATCATTAAGAACATTTTCATTATCTGTCAAGGCGGGAGGAAGAAGCAGAAAGGCAAGCGCTCTCAGGCGCAGGCTTCTCCCCTACATGAGAGCCGATTAGGGACGGAGCCGTGGTGGTCCTCATTAGTTGCTTAGCAATGAAAGCCCTCCTATGAAATCAGCAACGCAAACAAAGTGTGAGAGGTTGCAATAAAACGCACTGAACGAGCATGTTCTCGTCCTCAGAGGGTAATCTGTCCCGGCCAAACCTCCTTCCTCGGATCACAACCATGATGAGAAGCTGAAGCGGCTAAAGACACAATCTCATAAAAACAAACAAATATCAAGTCGGGAAGGTTCACGTGAAGACAAATTAAAATCGGTTTTTAATAAAAATGCTACACGCAAACAGCAAATCCCTCCTTTGGTTATTTATTTTTTATCCATAGATAAATTAAAAAGTAGATCCCACATTTATATTTTCAGAATTTTCAGCAGTTGACTGCTATAACATAAATGGGGGAAAAAATACACAGCACTCAAAGAGAGACCACACTGCCCAACCTAAATCTCCGTTAAACCAATTATTTTGCATGTAATTAACATTCCCATAAAATGAACCGCTACTAGTATCAAAGGCAGAAAGGAGACAACATGCTGCAGAATGCAATCAAACAGGGCTCGGGTTTTAGCTTGTCAGCAGAACATTCCACTAACATGCTACCACCTTGACCCAATCCATTCAAATCCACCCCGTGAAAGCCAGCCATCAGAACAAAACCACGCTCCTCGTGTATGATTAAAAAGAAGACAGTAAGAATAAACACTGCATCTTAATGTCTTCTTCAGTAGTTAAACACGTGGGTTTACAGACTTTCTTAAAGCTGGCATCAATGAGAAAACTATACTATTTTTAGTTGTCATTACGACATTTAACTTAATGGCACATCTCAACATTGGTGCAATGATGCATAGTAACTCGGCAAGGCCACCAAAGTTCATGTTTAATGTCTGCAGGGAAAAAAAATCACAATATGGTCTTACCTATGTGTTCGCACATGAAGACTACAAAGAAAGGAGTGACAAGGTCATTAATCCCCTGAACATATCCACTGGCAGGGTGACGTATCGCCCATATAAACAATATCCTTTCAAAAATCTGCAAGAAAATTGAACAGGTGGTGAAGCAAAAATAAACACATCAGAAACTTCAAAATGTATGCATTCTTTCCCTCAAAATACATATATACGATCAACATTTTTCACTGTCTCTAATATTAAAAGTAAAAATGTAAACAAAGTATTAATTGCTACTTAATTTTTTCATAAAATTCCCATTATCTTAATTTCTTACTGACTTAAAAGCAATTGCAGTGTGTCACCAAGCCCCGAGCTCAGCCCTGCCACACGAGCTGGCTCCCACAGGAGACACCGCCCCCCCAAGCGTCATGGGCAGAGACTGCACACGGCTGCCCAGGACGTGGTCAGGCAGTACAGCAGCACCTGGCCTCTGGGTGAGTGCTCCCTCCGTGTGGAGGGACAGGAGAGCAGAGGACCGGGCAGGCGGGTGGGCAGGTGCACCCAAGGATGGATGGGTGAATGGAGAGAAGGAAGGAAGCATGGTGGGGGGAGGGGGGTTGTGATCAGGGGAGGGGGTACATGGAAAGATGCTCTGAATTTCCCTCATATGGTAAACAGATTGTTTTAAATGAGGCAGAAGTGACATATGACATTATATTAGTTTCAGATGTACAATATTTGAACAGTGACTCAATATTGGTATATATTACAAAATGATCTTTTGTAATATATGTAAGTCTAATTAACACCCATCACCATACATAGTTACAAATTTCTTCTCTCGTGATGAGGACTTTGAAGATCTCTTAGCAACTCTGAGACATGCAACACGGTATTATTAAACAGTTAGCACACTGTCCATTACATCCCCTGACTTACTTTACGTTGACCCCCCGCCCATTGCACCCACAACCACCCCCACCTCTGTCAGCCACCAGTCTGTTATCACCACCCAAGAGCACCTGCTCCAGCATCTTCCCATTACATACATTCCCACCAGCCGTTCCATCACCCAGGCCGTGGACACAGGAGTAGCTTAGCCTCCTCTCTCCCCTTACAAGACCCTTGCTGCTGACCCAGGCCTCATGCTAAGAAAGCACATGGGGCAGGCTCAACGAGCAAATGCCCAAACAGCGCGTGAACTGCCTCATTTCCAAACAGGTTGAGCCTGCAGGGCTAACTGTGCTGGTACCCGAGGAGGTCAACCCCTTTCTGCACTGCCCTCACTCCCAAATATCACCGAGCTTGTGGTCTGCATCCCCAAAATCAACACCAACTCAGCTCTACAGCGGGAGCACTGGGGCCTAGATGGGCAAGTCTCTTAACCCAGGGCCCACGGGCAACAAGGGGCACCACCAGCCCTAGAATCCAGGCCCCCAGCCTGGTGCCCACCCTCGTACACCATCAACTATGCTTGCTCCCAACAAATAAAGTAACCAGCACGTAAGCCGGGGCACCTGGGCACAGAGCCTGTCCCAACAGGGCAGCTGCTAAGTACCTGCTGCTGAATGAGTCGTGCATTCGTGCACATACATTCATACCTGTGTCTCATTTTACAACAGCTTTCTAACGAGAACTAGCAAGAATATTCAAACAAGAGCAAAAGACCAAAACCACTCAACACGTGGCATCATTTGCCATTTCTCTTGTGCAAACGCAACGTGGCTGACACTGTGCCGCCACGTTGGGCTCCCTCACCCTGGTGACGCTGGAAGCGCACTCGACCCGCCAGTGCAGTGACACAGTGGTCAGACAGGGACGCAGAGTCCGTGCAGGAGAGGACCCCTCACCGGCCTCCGAGCAGCCACGCAGCAGTCACGGCCCGGCCCGGCCACCTGGACACAAGGAAAGCCCGGGACAGTGTCCCAACCCTTTCCTCGCCGTGGCCAGGGCAGGGACAAGCTGAGCAAGTGAGGGCACAGTCAGCGCGGAGACCGCACCGGGGGCAGAGAGCGGGCAGGGCCGGGCTGCACTAGGACGAGCAGGAGCAGTGCCCAGCAGGACACACTTGGGATAGTTCGCCGTAGTGCCCGGCAGGACACACTTGGGATAGTTCGCCGTAGTGCCCGGCAGGACACACTTGGGATAGTTCGCCGCAGAGCAGTGCAGAGCCATGGACGTCAGCTAAGCAGCTCCTCACGAATAAGACCCTGAAGTATGTGTACAGCTCACGGGCAGGTTTCTACCCCACACTGGAAAGTTCTAGCAAAGACAACCTGGAGGATGGGGAACTCCCGTGCATGCACACTCAGCCATGACGTGGCCAGGAACAGAGGAGCCTGAAGAGCTCAGGTGCACCCCCACCATCAGCTCGGGCAGGCCCCCAGCCGGAGACCCACAGGTGAGACAATGGGGCCCAGCGAGGTGAAAAGTACCCGCTCTGGCCCATGCCTCCTGGTGCAGGGTGGCTCCTTCGATTCCCAGCACGGCCTTCAGTCCCTGCACAGGGCAACACTCGATGGCTCCAAGAGCACCCAGGGATGGGATCAGGCCACACCTTCGGCCATTCTTCGCATGACCCCTATACAGGGCTACCCTCAAGACGTGGCAGCGGAGCACCCAGAGATGGGCTCAGCCTACTCTGAAAGAAGCTCCCGGGCGGGGCACCCAAGCAAGGCACCAGAACAGACAAGCACATGGTGCAGGGGGCACTGTCTGCAGCACCCTCCAGGTGACCTAGGGCAGGAAGCAAGGACCTGTGTGGTCGCCACACGACAACCAGGCCTGAGGAGGGCTGGGAACAAAGGAGAAGCGTCAGCCCCACAAACACGTGGATGGAAAGGCTCCACGGTGGTACACACTGCGTCCCGGAGGCCACTGAGAGCAAAGGAGAGATGGAGGGGTGCCTTGAGGACAGGAAGGAATCACTGGGGATAGCCTTGAATGCCACGGTGCAGTACGTGGGCATCAGTAAGCAACCTAACCCCAGTAATGACAACGCTAGTGTGATCACGCAATACTTGCTAACATCGATTAAATGCTACTGTCCTAACCACCTTCACTAGCTCATCCTCCTCTAAACGTGGAGGCAGGTATGATTACTGCCCCTTTCAGACAAGGTGGCGGACAGACCCCGAATGGCCCTGTGCCCCCCCACCTCCTGGTGTATGAGCTCTTGTGTGGCCCCTTCCCCTTGAGTGTGAACAGCCCTGCACCCTGCTTCGCACAGGGGATGGGATGTGCAAGATTACGTCACATAGGACAACAACCGTCCTGCTGGGAGACGCTCTCCCTGCTGGCTTCAAGGACACAGGCTCCCACACTGTGAGCTGCATAAGGAAAGGGCCGTGTGCCCAGGACCTGAGGGCAGCTGAGAAGCAGCAAGGAACCCAGGCCACAGCTCCACAGCCTACCAGCAACCGAATCCTGCCAGCAACCACGTGGGCCTGGAAGCGGGTCCTTCCCCAGTCAAGCCTCAGATGCGTCTGCAGCCCAGACCACACCTGTTTGCCACTTGGGGAGATCCTGAGCTAAGACATGCCCAGACTCCTAACCCACAGAAACTGCGGGACAACAAATATGAATAAGTGTGTGTTGTTTGAAGTGCCAGGTTTGTGGTGATGTCGTTACACAGGAATGGGTAACTCATACAGATGAGAAAGCTCAGGCAGCCACAGGGTAAGCAATTCACCCAGAGCAGCAGAGCCAGAGGTCCATGCTAGTATCTGACTAAACGGGGGTCTTGTGAGGCTTACTAAATGCCACCACCGATCTGCATTAGTACACAAGAGTTGTTTTCATATGTAAACCAAAAAGGAGAGAACACCAACAAGAGTTGTTTTCGTATGTAAATCAAAAAGGAGAGAACACCAAAAAATTGTAACTATATGGTAAGAAAGAAACAGCAACATCCGTGAGCTCCTGGTGAGCAAACTACATCTAAACTTGGTTTCCACCTGTCCAAGGCCTAGCAGGGACCTGGTCATCAAAGGGGCCTGGTGTGCACACATGCATGTACACAGATACGTGGCATGTGTGCACAGGTGTGAGGTGCGTGTGCACACACGTGTGGTACCTGTGTGCATGTGCGCTGGAGGAAAAGCCAGAGCTCAGGGCACGGAAATCTCCTTTCCTGCTTTGCAATCTCACTATCCTGGGGAAGTGATCATGTCAGCAATGGACCCCTCCCAACCCTTTCACTAAGCCCCAGACTTCAGAGCGCTTGGCTATCTCTCTCTCTCTCTCTCACACACACACACACCCTAACCCCACTCACAAGCAGGAATGCAGGTTTTCGCTTGGCAACCCTGGCACAGAAGAAAAGCTGGTGCAGATGACTGAGTCGGCTCCGCACAGCAGGGAATGTGGGGGGACATGAGTGTTCTCGGTGCAACCAGCACCCGTGCAGGCAACTGGAGCGGCCTACTCGCGATTCGTAGGCCCAGAGGCCACAGAAGGTCTGAGAAAGCAGCAGGGGAGACCTGCTGGCCGGGGCTCCTGACGCAGTCCCAAAGCTTCCCTCATGGAGAGTCCAGAGCAAGCTGTCCTGAGATGGACCAGGCTCCACAGGACATTACCTGGGGAAACTGAGGAAAGCACTCAGGGGCAAACGCGTCTGGTAAACACGGCTGAGCAAGGAGGTAGAAGGAGGCAGCTGAGCCTTCTCAGTCCCAAACAGACCCTTCATGTGCTCGCAAAGCCGTCTGTAAGGGAGCTGACAACCTAGCAATCGCCTACTGCCCCTCACCTGGGCCCCGTGCAGGCTTCCAGAAGCACAGGCCGGCCCTCACGCTCACAGCCTGCAGAGTGCCCTGGGTCTGTACTACTTTGGGAAAACTTCCAGAATTCAGATTTCCCATTAATTAAAGAAAAGCTATCAATCAGGTAGTTCAAATTGTTTATACTTAACTCTACTTATCTCTCTTGATAACCTGAAAATTATACCCTTAAGGCTTTAATCCCAGTAACATGTAAACAAAGAGACAAGTAGTTCAAACAAAAACAAAAATGGCTCTTTTTTTTTAAAAGATTGTATTTATTTATTTGAGAGAGAGAGCAAGCGAGTGAGCACAAGCAGGGGGAGGGGCAGAGGGAGAGGCAGACTCCAAGCTAAGCAGGGAGCCCGATGCAGGGCTCGAT